AACAACAACAACAACATGGAAATCTGGTTTCAGTTGTTGATTGTTTTTAGTCTAAATGTGTCACGCATCATCATAATGTGTTCTTTATTTTTTCAGATTGATAAACACATGCAGTCTTAAATAAACAGACACTTAAATACAAAGACCAAAAAACAACAAAACACCACAATTCCAGTTTCACACCATTTCCCGATTCTTTTGTCTGGTTCTTCCAGGACAATTCCCCGAAAAGGACCATCCAGATTCGAAGAGATGACCTGTAAGAAAGATCATGCTTGGAAAAAAAAGATAAACAGAGACAGACAGGGAGAGAGAGAGAGAGAGCCTGGGTATTGAGACGTTTGGCCAGGAGGAGAACCGAACTCCGCACAGAGACTGTGCGGAAAGGAAGTGAGACAGAGAGACAGAGAGACAGAGACACGGGTCCGTCTCGTCTCATTGCGTGCCTCAGGCCACCTGCAACGCCGCGGGGCAAACCTTCGGAGCCTTGGACGGTGGGTTTCCACCCGTGGACGGACGTGGGTGCCAAGGGGGTCTCTACAGCTCCAGGAGAGAGGGACCGAACTCGGAGCCCAAACGGGCCCAAACGGGTTCAGAAAACCAGTACAGAAATATGGAGTGATGCCTACCATTTGGAGACAGAGCGGAGTGGAGAAACCGGTTGGAACGTGAAAAACCCACAACAATCGTGGGTTCTCCTGGTTCCTTGCAAGGAACTCTGCAATATACAAAACTCAAAACGATCCAAAACCCTCAACCATCCATCCTAAACTAAACCCATTGGGATGTCCCGCATGTCGTAGTAGCCCAAAACCGGGAGACGCTCGGCACACATTGGATAGGTCCAAACAATGCAGAATTCCTACCCAGAGCATCTGTGGGACTGGTACCACATTAAGAAGTTTAAATCTGGATCAAGTCCCAGACAGGTCGTATTTGAGAACCCTGGATCTTCCCACCATCCCTGGACTGATGGTCGCCTATATATTTATAGAGGTCGCTTAATGTACGTAGACTCTTGAATAAACTCCCCCATTTGAATGATCTGACTTGCGGACTGTCTCTCCAGACGCGCTGCCACGCTCCCCCTTACCATGTTGTATGGTGGGTTGAGGTGGACGATGAGGGTGAGACGTGACTACAGACCCTGAGACTGTCTGTACACTACGAACGAATAAACGGCTGCTCGCAAGGTCTGAAGACGTCGAACTCCCCCATTTGAATTGGAAATCCTCTTCCGGCCTATGGGGGGTGTATTAGGGACTCCAACGTTCGGTCACTGGGAAGTGGAATCCTTCGTCACGTCGATCGGCGTGTTTACCCTCGGCGTAAAGCTTCGTTCGCTGAGGATATGCCTTGGGTTTCACTGGCTTTACTGCCTTGGAACATTTCAAGCTCCTTTCGCTCTCAGGACCGGCGAAGACCAGTTTCGTGATGGGACGGACGAAAAAGCACCGGACATAGATGGAGAGATGGGACGAAAAATCCATGTCTGGGCGGGGGTTATGAATCAAGAGTCCACATGATAAATATAGCTGCCTCACGAGTGATTCTTTTCGTCACTGTCCGCGTCCGAAGGAGTCCCAAACATAAGTTAAATTGCAAGGATGAAATAAGCTGTCGGGATCATAATTCCACATGAAGTGAGAAGATTGAAGATCAAGGCGAGATACAATGCTTTCTAGTGGTGAAGAAGCTAACAGCTAACATTCAGCTAACCAACATGTGGTCTTCAGCTGTCAGTACATGTGTAACTTCTCCCTAATGCAGTAGAGGGGTTCTGACAACTAATTTCTGCCAACAAACCCGTACATAGGTCTAGGTGTTTCAAAGGGGTGCTTAATGGAGGTTGGGAGGTGCCCATTATTGACTAAACCAATAAAAGTGACTAAATTCACACCACCCCTTTATGACCCCATGTGACGGTGAAACACGTTCGCTCGTGTTCTCTTTATGTATGGCACCCGCGCACGGGCTCCGTGACTCCCACTCAGCGTTCGGTGCCCAGTGTGCTCCTTTGGAGGCTTTATGTCAAGCATGGGTCTCCTCTTCTTAGTGGTGACCGCGATCGTGGCGATCTTGAAGAACCTCTGGCGTTGGGTCAGACAAGGGGGCATTAAACAAGCGGGGCGGGGCGGCGAGGCCTTTTGCGGAGCTCTTCGGACCCCTTGGGTGGAGGAATCTGTTCATGTTTGGTCTGCCAGGTTTCCGAGGTCTTGACCCACAGTCATGTGTGTGTGTGTGATTGTGTGTGTGTTCTTTTTTTTCTGACACACAAAATACACCCGGTGGGAACTTTTGTCTCAGCGAAATTGGAGCACTGAGGAAAGAGAAGCCCTTGCCACCAGAGGAAGAGCCAGAAGGAATCCGGGATGCTTACATGCAACTTTGCTTTACAATGGTAATGAATCCGTGAATTTGGCATGATTTGGCAGACCCGGATTCACAGCAAAATAATGCAAAATGTTAGATTTTGAGACTTCCCAATCCCACAACACGAAGCAACCTTCGAGCAGTCACCGGAGCCAAGGCAGATGCTGCGGATGACCGGGCTGAGACCGATCCAGTTCCCTTCTCTGCGCAAAGATGAAGACCAGACCAGATAGACATTCCGCTATAATTTTCCTGGGAATAAACCCTATAGAATGAGGAGCTCGAGCCCCAAGACCAGGGGTCATTTTATAGGGGCCCAAGTGGCCACGTTTTGCTATAGAATGAAAAACATGCACACACACACAAAGTGATATGTTTGAGCTCTGAACATAGTTATGGAACATGTTTATATTTTATAGTGACTTTTGGTGGTCATGTTTTGAACCAGGCAAAGGCAGGTTTTAGATTTTATAGTGTTATGATTTTATAGTGAACATTATTTAGATGTCCATGTTTTCATTTTATAGACTTTGATGTTTGGTAGGGAATGCAATTTATAGAGGCATCATTGGCTTGTGTGAGTGTGTGTTTTCATTTTATAGAGATGTGAGATGATGTGAGCGTGTCTTGGCTGCTTCTGCAAAACATGGGCATTTTTGGCTGCGTGTAGTGGCAAGCTAGCCCATGAAGACCAGAAAAGTGAAAGCAGAACCAATCTTTCCTCATGAATCCTCATGAATCAAAGAAATTAACATCTGTCAACAATCATCAACAATCTCCAAGAGTAAAGATTTTGATCAGAATCAGCCAGAGATTTGGCTGATTCTATGCTTCTGGGCCATGCCAGCACCTCCAGATTGTCAGGTCATGTTTTTCATTTTATAGGACCTTCATTTTGTGACCCCCTTTAAAAGTACACTTAGATGGCCCACCCTGAGCCCCAGGTTTTATAGTATTTTCTGTGGGGTAGGCTTGTCCTATGATGTCATTTTATAGTGGTGCACTGTGGTCACCAAGGGTGGGTTATGACTATAAAATGCCAGGCCCAACACCTACCTGTAGTTCCCACGGGGATCCGCTATATATAGGGTGTACCATGGTGTATCTATATCAGAGTGATGTGGACACACGCAACATCAACATCTGACCACAGCCTCAGACTCGCCCATCTGGGCCGCGTATGGGTGATGAATCGTTCGCGGCTGAGGCTTCTCTTCGTGATGCTTTTCACCTGGAAGGTGCCCTTCGCTGTGTGCGAGTCTGTGGCCCCGGTGAAGTTCCAAGAGCCACTCGGAGGAGTCTCGACGCTGGTGCGGTGGTGGGTGGAAGCTCCTTGGCCATGGGGAGTGCGGGGAACACCAGTATACGGTATACCGTAGTAGACCGTAGAATAGACCCTGGGCTGCCTTGATGTCAAATCTTTGGGCAGCGTGAACAGTGCTGCAAATGCTGCAAAGAGGAAGCTGTTCCAGGATGGTGTTGGGTCAGTTCCCTCGAAGGTGGACCATCATTGCTGCGAACCATGGTTCCAACTTCAACCATACATATATATATATATGTGTAAGTATATGTTCTTTCTTGGTTCGGCTTTGTCATTGCATTTAATTTACGGAAAAAGATGTTCTCCCTTTTCACAGACCCAAGGCCCAAGACGTTGTGTCAACCCAGAGGTGAAAGACAAGTCATCAATTGAGGACGCGAGCATCAATCCCCAGGTGCTCTTGTGCCAGGTGCTCGTGTGGAGAATGAAAGAGTCCATGAAGGGACATGTCCAACTCCAACCTTTACCTTTCTGGACAGAAGGAACTCTTCCACATCTTCCAGAACCAGCGCATCTTAGTCGCAGAACCCCCCATAAGCCATAAACTACACTGGTTTGAAGAGTGTCTCAACCAATGTGTTGGACAGATGGGAACCACCCTCACTGACTGGGGTAGCTTGTGCAACCGACTCTAAAACCTTTATAGTGGCCCCCAAATAGATAGTGGGACGGTTTCCAAACCAATGTGACTGCGGGATATTTTCTGCTGTTCTATCTATCTGGGGGTATATATATATATATATATATTTGTGAATCCAGTGGAGTCGGAAGGCAGGGTTCCTTCGAATGTGTCCCATCGCAATGACGATGGCTCAAGGCACCAACAGGCTGGCATGTGGAAAAGGCGTGGCCGCCTTGCTGGAGGGGATAGGATTTGATAGGACTGTAGGTTTGGTAGATCCCCTGAAGGAATCGTTACCAGTGGGACTGCATAGCAGTCACATTGGTAGCGGAGCCGGAAGGGGCCCGTAGAGTAGGATCTCACGGAAAGCCATGGCTGAATCTTCAAGTGGAGATACAAAAGGGTCTGGTTTTTGGACATTGCTGCCCACCTTTGATCCAGCGACCGATGACGTGAAAGAGTATGTCTCCAAGGTGAAGTTTTTGGCTGGGATATGCCCCAAGGAAAATCGAGGAATGCTGGCACCAAGGTTAGCTTTGCAATGCAGAGGGACTGCATGGCATCAAGTGCGAGCCATCAAGCCAGAGCTCCTGACTGATCCCGAACACGGGATAACTCACCTGCTTTCCGCCCTCTCTACCTGGGAGGAACTGGCAGAGTTGAAAACGTTCGAACTCTTCGATCGTGCCATCTACCGGACGACCCAGAAAAGCGACGAGTCTGCACAGTCATTTGTGAATAGACTACAGGTGGCCTTCGAAGAACTTGGACCAGATACAACAATCAAGTCGGTCAAGGCCTTCGTATTGTTGAAACAGAGTTCATTGAGCAGTGATGACAAAAAGAAAATATTGACAATGACCTCAGGTGTTCTGGAAGTGGGCGCAGTGGAGAACGCCATGAGGAGCCTGTCAACCAATGTTTTGTTGGGAGCCGGCATTGGAGAGAAGAAGAAAGTTTATCCAACAAACTACATCGAGCCCGAGGAGGATACAAACAATGCCACAGAGTTTCAACCGGAATCCGGCCATGCATACATGGCATATTCAGAAGATGATGACATTACAACAGAAGCAATGGATCAGTTGTTGGCTATGGGGGACGCTGACGCTCTCTTGATCCAGTCCTTCGAGAAAGACCTGGAAGACATGTTTCAGGAAATCCCTGACTTGCAGCATGCTCTCATCTCCTATCAGGAGGCCCGTGGGAGAATTCGAGAGAAGCACCGAAGCAGGGGATTCTGGCCCGTGAAGGGTGGAGGCAAGTCTGGAAAAGGTCACGGATTCGGAGGAAAAGGATTCCGAAAAGGTCGAGGCAAACAAGAGCTCATGGAAAGAATCTCAAGAACACACTGCAAACTATGCGGAGAAAAAGGGCATTGGAAGGCAGAATGCCCTCGTCGAGGTCAGGAACCAGCTCAAGCCAACTATGTGACGGAACCCGCTGGAGAAGATCTGACCTACAATGACGATCAAGTCCAATTCGAAGTCATCGAGAGTCAGGACCTGAAACAAACGCAAACATCAAATGAAAGCCTATCCAGAGAGCTTGAATGCAATTCGATCGAACCGAAAATCAACATGATCAGTTCAAAGGGCAGCCAATTATCGTTCGCTTTGCACACAAGCATAATAGATAAGAGGTCCATACAAGATAAGATAAACAAAAGAATGAATGAATGCAAGATTGTGCAAAACATTCGCAGGTTGAAGCCGAATGCACGAGCAAGTCAGCCTCAAGATCCTCCGATCTTTCAAGGCTGCACCAATAGCATCTCGGCCGAAGATCCGAAAACTCAGGGACAAGCAATTGTCGACACTGGAGCCAGTCGCAGTGTCATCGGCATAGACAATGTTCCTGCCTTTTTGAACTCGCTACCAACCAGCGTGCGCAATCGAGTGAAAGAGAAGCCAAGTCGCATCGGATTTCGATTCGGAAATAATCAAATCGAGTATAGCTTCAAGCAGCTTCGTATCCCAATAGACTGTGAAGCACTTCGAATCTGGTTAGTGATAGAAGTTGTTCCAAAAGCAACCCCATTCCTGCTTTCAATACATGCAATGAAGAAGTTAGGAGCCGTGATTGACTTAGCTAGAGGAACATGTGTCTTGCAAAAGGTGAACAAGTCGATAAAGGTCATTGAAGGCAAAACTGGTCTGTTACATGTCCGTATTTCAGATTTGTGCCAAGACTCACAGTTGCCTCATGCACCGACCATCACCACGCAAGCTTTTCACACCTCAAGTGAAATCAAGAAAGCTGAACGCACCGCGATTCGAGCACCAGTTGACCATGCCGACTCGGGGAGAAGTGATGAACATGGTCCGACAGATCGCCGATTCGATCATGCAGTCACTCAAAATTCTGCTGACGATTCTCATGAACCAGGCAGCAACTCAGGTATCCGACCAACAGGTACCTACGGAACATGCCCATCAGATGAATCAGCTGACCATCGAAGTGAACAATCAGCGACAACGGATCGAAGAGATTGCAGAGATGCTGAAGCAGAGTGGAAGTGTGTCCCCTTCCGCAAAAGGGGGAACCCAAGGGCAATCACCTGCAAACACAGAGCAGGGATCATCGAGTTTCCACCTGGTCTCGGAGGAAGATTTCGAGTTCTGGACACAGGAAATGATGATTGCCCAAACGACTGGGCCAAGGACACCACCACCCGGCCGGAGCACCCAAGCAGCTCTGATGCAAGCTTTGAGTTCGGCAACAAAGAACGAAGCCAGGCCAAAGACAGTTCCATCGATCAAGGGACTGGCAAGCATGTCAAGTGGAACTACTGGAAGCCCATCAAAGACACATCCAGGGACGGCAGCACCCATTCTGGTCTCCGCAGCGGCGATGAGTTCTTTGACAATGCCGCAAGTGCCCGAGGATGTCATGCCATCAAGTCCACCGCAAGGAATGGATCTGGCATGGACTCAAGCAGCTCTCAACCAATGGGGAAACAAGAGAGTGACGTGGGGGAAGAAACACACTGGAAAACTCTACCACGAGGTCTACGAGAACGACCAGGGATATGTCCAGTGGTGCATGCAACGAATCAGCTCGCTCGATCAGCACATTCTAGATTTTGCCAGGTATTGCCAAACAAGGCTCACCATGGAAGAGCACATTCGAGCAAACTAGAAAGTCACACCGAGTGGGAGCAGTTTTTCGTTAGCCAATTGATCAATGTAGAGAACGAACAGGAACAAAAATGGATGATGGCATGTAAAGAGCAATGGAAACAAGGAAGTGCATCTGAACAAATCGATATGCTTGAAGTATACGCGCAACCAAACAGTAGAATAGTTGAAGAAGTCATCAAGCAAGGGGGAAAAGCCGATCGATTCACCATGCAACATGGAGACCTATCAACTTTCGAGGGACAAGTTGAATTGATCAAAACAATCATTCGAAAACGACCAAAGAACATATGGATGGCCCCCGAATGTCACCCATGGTGTGCATGGAATAGATTCAATGCAGCAAAAAGCACAAAGCAGTACATGACCATCCAAAGGTCTAGAAGGGAATCACTGATTCATTTGCAATTGTGCTCTTTCATTTGCAAACTGCAAGTTGATGCTGGCCGACATTTTCACTTGGAGAATCCAGGCACCTCAGATCTGTGGAAGCAGGCACAAGCTCAACCATTGATTCGCATGACTAAGTCAATCCACCTTGACCAGTGCAGATTTGGTTTGATACACCCGGAAGATTCGAGACCCCTGAAGAAATATACTCGTGTTCAAACCACATCAAATAGCATGGTGAGAAACTTAGATGGAAGAATTTGTCAAAAGAATCATGAGCACGCACAGATTTCTGGGTCTTGCAAATTCCAAGGAAAAAGGATTGCCCTTTCAAGATTCGCTGCTTTCTATCCACGGATGTTAGCTAAAGCCATAGTAAGGGGGATAATCCATGAAGTCCAGCCGTCAGTCATTCCGATATATCCTGTTGAAGAAGTCCTGGAACCACAAGCCAAGAGGATTCGCACGCAGTCACCACGAGTCGTTGCAGGCCAGGACACCAATCGGAAAAGAGAACATGAAAAAGAAGATGAAGAAAAAGAAAGTCAAGAAGAGTTGACAGATGAACTATGGAAAGGGATTTTCGAATGGTGTCAAAATCACTTGCCGAAATCAGGAGCTCAGGATTTGTCCATTGAGTCTTGGGTAGGTCAAGCAATCTGTCTGCAAACGACCATATCGCATGTAAAGCAGATCAGAGCCGGAAAAGGTTTTGACAAGTTCTTGATCGGAAATAGTGAACATCCCATTCGACAGACTGTTTGCATGTGTAGGAAAACAAAGAAGATAGTAAATCTTGGTGAGGAACGGTGGACAAAACTAACACTGCAGAAACAGAGAAGAAACGCCATTCCAAGTCATATCATGATCGCCATATTTGGAACAACCGAGTCAGAAGAAGCAGACAGTTCGACCCGCCAAGAAGTTTTGAAGCCAAGTACCATGCCTGTGTCGCCAGAGTCAAAGCAAGAAATTGCAGTTCCAGAGAGTTCGGAAAGGGAGATAGCAATGTCACCCACTCCGGATTTGCCAGTTCCCGCATGGACACCGCAAGCTGTTAGCAATTCAGGATCGAAATTCGAGCAGCTGCAAGCCTTCCAAAAGACATTGATTCGTAGAACACATAATAATTTAGGTCATCCTACTTCGCAGAAGCTGTCTGAGCATTTAAGAAGAGCAGGCATGTCCAATGAACTAGTGGAAGGAGCTGCCGAATATCAATGTCCGTCATGCACCGAAAGAGTACCACCCAAGCTCACCACCCCAGGCAAGTTAAAGGAAGCTAGAGAGTTCAACGACAAGATCTCCATCGATGGTTTTGAATGGAAGAATGAAAAAGGGCTCAAAATGTATGTGATTCATATATTTGATGAAGCCACTCATTACCATTTGGGGAAGAGAATAAGTCGATCAGCTGAATCCACAGAAAAAGCAATGTATGAAAATTGGTTTAGCTGGGCCGGACCACCAAATGAAATATGTCATGATGAAGGGGGAGAATTCATGAGCCAAAGGTGGAAAGACATGTTGGAAAGAGAGGGAATCAAACCAACCGTGAGCGCAGCACCATGGCAGAGGGGAAGAATTGAAAGACATGGAGCAGTCATCAAAGAAATGTTGAACCGAATAAATCAGGAAAAAGAGATTGAAACAAATGCCGAATTCGATTATGCTCTATATCAATGCTTCCAAGCCAAAAACTCCATGAGTGTAAGTAACGGATATAGTCCTGAACAAGCAGTACTCGGTCGAGCAAGACGGTTGCCAGGGTCGATATGCAATGATGAAGATAGTATAACACACTCCCTAGATAATCCAGAAGATACCCGATCTAAGGATTTTCAGGAACGAATGCAGATTCGTACTCTTGCAAGAAAAGCACTGCTCGATGCCGACAACAGCCAAGCAATTCGAAGAGCGATGCTTCGACAATCCCGAGGACATGAACATGACTGGCAATTAGGAGAACTCTGCATGATTTGGGACAAAAGAAAATCACCCAATATGATAGAAAAAGGGAGATGGGTAGGACCTTGTCAAGTAATTATGCATGAGGGTAGAACAATCATTTGGGTCACACAAATGAATCGCCTCCTTAGAGTTGCCAGAGAAAACATGCGACCCGTGTCCTTGAGAGAATTCCAATCCCGAAGCCAGTTCAATCAATCTGCCAGTGAGAGTCGACTTCAAGAAATGGCTCAGAAACTGAAGGAAAGCTTGAAACAAAGAAGTGGAATGTTTCAATATGTTGACCTCAGTGAACCTAGAACGGAAGAACAGACTCATCCTACTGAACGTGAAGCACAACCTGAAGAAGAGCCGCATCGAAGAGACTCGAATGCCGATTCGCAGCACCGACCAGAAATCTCTGGAGAAAATGCAGAACAGAGCAATCCAGGTGCTGAAGACACGGCTGCCGAAGTGCCAACAGGGTCAGATTATGGGGGAATACATAATCCAGAAAGTGAGCAAGTAGGGGATTCGTTAATGGTGCATAATGCATTCATTACAGAAGTCAATATAGCCGGTACAGAAAGTGTCTTGGATGAGGGTACTCTGTGGAGTAAAAGGGAAAATCACGAAGACACCAAGGCTGATTTTTGCAAGATTGAATTCGATGTACCTAAACAGCAATTGACAAGATTTCTCATGAACCCATGCCTGCATGCAACCGAAATAGCAAAAGCTGCCAAAAAGACACATACTGAGGTACAGTATAGCCGATTGACCAAAGAAGAAAAACAAAGATTTGATCAAGCAAAACGCAAAGAAATGAACTGTTGGCTTGAAACAAGTGCTGTCGTGCCGATCTTGAAGAATAGGATCCATCCAAGCCGGATCATGTCATCCAGGTGGATATTAACTTGGAAAACAGATCCAAATGCAGCTGACGGGCGAAAACCTAAAGCCCGAATTGTAGTAAGAGGATTCGAAGATCCCGAACTTGCTACAGTATCGACTGAAAGTCCGACACTGTCCAGAGATGGACGAATGGCAGCACTGCAGACAATTGCCAGCAAACATTGGCAATTGCAATCGTTCGATATCACCACGGCCTTTTTGCGAGGACGAAGTGATGAAAGACAGTTAGCAATGACTCCCGTACAAGAACTAAGAGAACTCATGCATTTGAAATCAGAAGAAGTCTGTTTACTGAAAGGAAATGCATACGGAAGAGTTGATGCCCCACTATTGTTCTACAAAGAGTTTCGTCGACGACTAGAAGAACAAGGATTTGAAGCACACCCCATGGATGGTTGTTTATTCTTGTCGAGAAATCCCACCAACCCCAAGATCTTGGAAGGGATACTAGGAACACATGTAGATGACGGAATAGGAGGTGGAACCAAGTTCTTCGAGGAAGCTTTGGAAAGACTGCAAAAACACCTGCCTTTCGGAAGTCGAGAATATCGGAAATTTCGATTTACCGGACTAGACATGGAACAAATGCCAGACTTTTCAATAAGGGTAAGTCAAGAAAACTATGTAATGAAAATAGACCCAATTGATGTGCCCAAAATTCGAAGAAAAGAGACAGAAACACCAGCAAACCCACATGAAGTGCAGCAACTTCGAGCATTGTGCGGAAGTTTGCAGTATGCCGCTGTCCACTCCCGGCCAGACATGGCTGCAAAGGTGGCTTTCCTTCAAAAGCAGATTTGCAAGGCAACAATCGCAGACTTGCTGGAAGGAAATCGAATACTGAATGAGGCAAAAGAATTTGCTTCAACAGCAATCTATGTTCGTCCAATTCCATTGGAAGAAATAACATTTGCTAGTTTTGGAGACGCCAGTTTTGCTTCAGAAAGTAAACTAAAAGCACAGCAGGGTTTGTTTATAATGGCATGCACAAAACGGTTGCAAGAAAACAAAGCGTCAGATTTCACTCCAATAGCTTGGAATTCCAAACAAATTGGTCGAGTAGTTAGATCTACTCTAAGTGCCGAAGCATATGCTATGTCCTCGTCACTTGACAAACTCACATGGATTCGTTGTCTTTGGAGTTACATCCATGACCCAAAATTTCAATGGTATAAGCCGGAAGAAGCTTTAAAGAATGTTCCCAAGGCACTCTTGATCACAGACTGCAAAAGTCTTTATGACTTAGTCACTAAGCTTGCAGTACCAAACTGTCAGGAGTGGAGAACAACCATTGAAGTGATGTTGATTAAGGAACAAGCCGGAGAACATTCGACATGCCGCTGGATATCCACAGCTATCATGCTGGCCGATGCTTTAACGAAGCCCATGGACTCAACGTTCATGCGTCGTGTCCTTCAACTAGGTCGGTTCAGAATCTACGATGAAGAAGGAACGCTCAAGCATAATGCAAATCGCAAATATGGCAAAACATGCTGGCTGGAACCAAACACATTCGAACAGAGAAAAGAAAACGAATGTGAATCCAGTGGAGTCGGAAGGCAGGGTTCCTTCGAATGTGTCCCATCGCAATGACGATGGCTCAAGGCACCAACAGGCTGGCATATGGAAAAGGCGTGGCCGCCTTGCTGGAGGGGATAGGATTTGATAGGACTGTAGGTTTGGTAGATCCCCTGAAGGAATCGTTACCAGTGGGACTGCATAGCAGTCACATATATTTGCATATATATATTGTCACAAAGACCAATGTAGACTCTTGATTGATATCCCCAGCCATTTGAATTGAAAATCCTCATATGGGGGGTGTATTGATCATTATATAGGATCAAAAAGGCATTGGCTCTAGTCCTCCGCAACCTCGCAGCGTCGCCAGGTATGGCATCCCTAAGGAGCACATCACCTATGTGACCTCCCTACTGATGCCCATGTGTCTCAGATCAAATGAGTCACAACGGGGATGGCTAAAGTGAGTTATATATGAGCTTCACTGCTTGTGAACAAACTATGGAACAAAGTGAGTTATATATACATAATTGCCATGGCCACCCTGACATTGTTTTTGGCAGTATGGTTTTGGTGTGCAGATTAGTTTGCAAATGGAGCTACTGACCAGTTTTTTTGCTTCCGGGTGAGCATTTGACAATCCTGCATGACTCAAACCAAACTCTGTTTTTCAAGTTCGATACTTGTAGAACGTTGTGTGAGCTCCGAAAACCACCCTGTGAGCTGGTAGGCCAATATGCCAGTCCAATGCCAGTCGTGTTGAAGATGTCGGTTGAATTGCTCCTCCCACGAGGGTCATCCTGTCCCAGTTGCTTGATGTGGCTGTTTCGGAACTCAACCCCACCAAACCATGCTATAGCCTGATCTATCGGAGTCATGACTGAGGAATCATGAGGAATCTGTTCTGCCATGACCTGGGGGTCAAGCAGGGTGCCCAGGTGCCATGACCTGGGTGCCCAGGTGCCATGACCCACCACCCATTGTTATGATCTCTTATGTCCAAGCCGTCCCTGCTCGAGAGCAGTTTCTCCCAGACGGCCCATGATGCCGAAGAATCCAAAAGGTGAACTGCAACGGCGAACAGCCCGGTTGGTGGTTGCTACCTCAGAGTTGGTTCGTCCAAATCGCTGCCATGATCACACCATTTGGTGTTGTCCTGATCGTCAACCGTATTCCACCGTTCAATAGTGTTCGATAACATAAACGAATCATGGGAGCATCCGTCCACGCCCAAAAAAACCAACGGCCTTTATTTTTTTCGTTCATGCAAACCCGAGCCCGCACTGCACTCTTCCTCCTCTTCCTCTTCCAATTTGACCTCCAGGTCCAGTGGTTTTCTCAGCATCCTCAGGTACATCATGATCCCCATCGTGGCTGCCCGCTGGACCGGTGGCGCCAGACCTTTGCAGCTGGCCTTCTCCGTGTATCCGTTGCGCCTGGCCACCGGGCCTTTGTGCCTGGGACGAAGAACTGGGGACCGGACAAGTGGGGACGAGCGCGGGCTCGGGCGTTGCGCTTTTGTGGCGTGGCGTGTCGCGGTGGGGTGAAAGACCAACGGGACCAACGGGACAGAAGGAAGCATGTGAAGGTTTAGCATGTGAAGGTTTAGCATGTGTGTTTTTCGAGTGTGTGTTCTTTTTGTTTGCCAGAGACACCCGGAATCCGAGATGGAGAGGATTGAGAGCGACGACGTGGAAGTGTCAATGGTATCCCTGCGCAATGAAAATAGAAGTATAGTATTTAGTATTTGGTGGAACCGGGAAAATGGGTTGAACCCTCCAATAGTCATGTGGACATAGTGGTATGTGTTTACGTGTTTGCCCATGTGGAATGATGTTTGCTTGTGTGGTCCAATTAATTTCACCAGCTGCTTGATAGGGGAAAGTTCTTCATTACTTTGGTGGTCAGAAGTATGTGTTCAGGCTTAAAGATTTAGGGCATGTTCCATGTCCTAGTCCTATTAGTCAAGCTGCAAAAACCAATGTTATTTTGTTTTGGTCCAGGAAACTGAGCCAAAACCATGGAAACTGGAGACCCTTTGGGCGAGAGCTCTAGTTCTTCCTGAAATCCTCAGGAGGAAGCCATGCAAATACCCAGCGATTTCAAAGACAACTGTAGAGGTGACCAACACCCCTTGCTCCTTGTGGTTATTAGAATCAGCCGCGTGCAGAACGGGCTTGGCCCGTAGAACGGACTGCCCAGGACTGCGATCTTGGCTTTCTACACCCCTGCCTCTGTCTCTCCTATCCCTTGGACGCTCGGACTGAGAGTCCCAGTGACAGTTCCAACCGTCCCAGTTCCAGCGTCGTGGTGTGGCCGAAAAGCGATGACAACTGATGTGACCCTTTGTGTGGTGCCCCAGCCATGTTTGAGCCACTGCCATTTGATGGGCTCACAAACCGAAGAAGCAATGTGAATTGGCAGGGTGATTGGTTCTCTTTAGATAGATGCTGTAGATAAAGATACCACGTATTCCACGTGACCACACCGCGACCCAGTCCGTTGTCGCGAAAAAACGCACCGCCCCGCACTTACTTCAAGAGACATCCAGAAGGGATGTTCATGGGTTTTTCTGCCATGCCGCCTAAGATGCCCAGTGGTTTTCTTGCATCTCAGCGAGCTTCCAAACATGCTACCACTACCCGCTCAAGAATATGAAACCGATCCGCCATGTGTATGTTTTTGCACTTGCAGGGAAAAGAACGTGTTCTTGGTTTTGTATTTTCTTCACAATAGTAAACGTCCATCTACTCTCCAAAGCAAGGATCTTCTACACTCTCCTGGTCTTTGTCATTGCCGCCGCCGCCACCACCTCAGCCACCTGACTGCGATTTCATAGTTGGATCGATGCTATTTGAAGCTTCAATTCACTTTCGTACCAGGACCTTCCAACAGACCCTCAGAGGTGGTCGCAAGGAAACACCGATCTGGTCACTGGGAAACAGGATCGAACGGAGCATGGATGTGGCTCGACAAAGGTCAACACATACCCACCCTAGGGATCCAAGTAGCTCCTCAAAAGGTACTTGGACCCTCTTGGCACCCACCCCAGCCCTCACTGAGTAGCTTCTCAGAGGTTACTTGGATCCTTATATAAGGCCAAGGATCGGTTGGATGAGTTGGGTTTAGGGCAAGCAACTCTTCTCCAAGAAACCCAGGCCCCTACTGATTCCTGTTATAACACCTGGCAGTATACGTAGGATTGGCAGATATAACGGGGAAGACTGGAGAACCTCCAGACAAATATCTCTCAATTTTTTGAACCCTTTCTTGAGAAGGCTCAGCCTTAGACTAGAAGCCACAGAAAACTATGTTCAACTACAACCCATCCTGCACTGTACCTAAGACTGCAGGACGAAACTCATCCATAGCTTGCAGTTGCCAGAATTCAGTATTCTTTGATGCAAGAACTCTTGCACCACCCGGAACCAGCCGGAACCATGCCGCAAAATCGCAGGGTTAAAAACAGAAACACTACGTGTAAGGAGTTGATGTTCGTGTCGCAGATGGCCTTCTTCGCACACGTGAGCGATCCAGCCTTGGGTGGCACCTTGGGCGGCACATGGAGGCTGGCAGCATGCGGGAGCGGCAGCATGAAGTTTTGGAGCGGGGAAATCCGGGAGCGGTGATGACTGTGGTGATTGGAGACATTTGGGGACAGAGGTTGCGAGCAATTATGCCTGCCTGACCAGTTGGTAGGTCACAAAACAGGTAGCTGATGTTGGATGAGGAAAGAATTCCTGCACCATCCCAGTCAGTCCCAGAAATCCTTTCATAGCTCAGATCTTCGCAATGGGGTGAGGACTGATGCAGCAGTTCTGTGTCCTTCTATCTAGATAGATGCGCCACCAAACCAACAGCCCAGCTCAAACCAGTCCCACTACTTTGCACTTCCCCACTGCTTCGGTGCTTCTGTTCTTCTGCCCATCTGAGTTTCCCATCGCTCCCAATGGACCGTTCGCTCACGCGGGGGAAAAACAGGGGTTGAAGCCGACGGTGTTTCGACCCACATAATGTGGGAAGTATGCGTGCATTCGTAAACCGTTAGATGGGGAGTAACCCTTTTTTCTTGTGTTGGTACATCAATGTGAATCTCATCATCTCTACAGATTATTGAGGATCCAGTGTCACCTCTAGACAAGGGGTTTGGCGATGTGAGGGAAGCAGTTGCATTATGGTCCTATACTTTTCTTGGTCAACACGGTGTGCCTTAAATCCCTGCTTTGCCCCTCAATACCGGCCGGGGAGGGGGTTTCACGCACAGGAGGGAAAGGCCTTGCACACTGAGGATTCGCTGAACATCCTTCCTCGATTCCTTCAATATCCCTACCAAATTATGATGTATCAGGGCAACAAATCCCCCTCAAGAGTATTCCATTATCCTCAATAGAAACAGGATCCAGCATGATCTAACAGTAAATCTCAATGTTGTTTCGTCACTTGGGTCAGGTCATCCAAGCGTTTATAACCCCTGTTAAACATTCTTAAGCCATGTCATTTCCGGGGGGCATTGACCACTGAGGTACATATATGACCTTGCTGAACACCATGGGCAACCTCGGTGGCCGCTGGCCGCCCACTGCCGCTTTCTTCTTGGTGGATGTCGCTTGGTCTACCGGTCTACCAGCCACTGGTAACCATAGTCACCTTAGTCTGAAAGGCACGCGCGGAAAGCACACCCGCCCCGGTCAAGAAACATGACGCTCGACATGCTGGTCGATCCAAAGAGTTGACAAGACATGCTGTCGACCGATGTGTGTCGTAGATCGATGTGGTGACCGCCCCGCCCGTGTCAGACCGCCCCCACAGGGTCCAGACCGCCCTGACAGGGCCGCCGTAGGGGCTTTCTTGCCCGGTCCGCAGGTCTTGAGCTGCGAGAGTGAGAGCTGCTGGATGAAGATGGATGGCTTCTATACGGTGACCTTTCTGTGACCCGGACTGCTTTCTGATTGACCGAATCCATATATAGGACTGGAGGGGTCATGACCTAGGACTGGAGGGGTTATGTTCATGGGGTCAATGTATGTACAGTATAACTATTCTACATGGATGGTCTGGGGATGGATGGCTTCTCTCATCTTCTCTCCAGATTCATAGGGCTTGATGTGGGGAGAGTCGCCAACCGGCGTCCCAGCCGACTGATGCTGAGACCCCCAGAAGGACTTTTTTCAAAGCAGAGGTCATGTTTGGGTTCGATAGGGATCCATTATGATCTGAACTTCTGAACTGTACTGAATCAGGGTTGGTCTACCCCCCGCAAACTAATCTGGAACCTGAGAATTCATCGATAGAAGACCATTTTCCGCCTTGACGGACCGGGTCTCCCCGGTCCCGGTCGATGTCGGCGGTCCTGATGAGACTGGAGACTCGTGAGGTTCGTTAGTCTGTACCAGGACCGAAACCAAGTCCGGTGGTTTTTGGACATCCCTTAAGCTTATATAACCTCTAAGAAGCCATTGATAAACACCTCTTGGTGTTGGTCCTGGTAAGTAGAAAACATCTCTGCGAGGTGGAAACTGAGAGGAGGGGTCAAGCACATGGTCCTCTCGTGCTGTCTATAGGTATTGCTGTTCCTTACCTGCATGATCCACATAGTGTCCTTTTCCATAGAACATCGCTCAGGTCACCCCACGTATCGCTCACCTAGGTGTACGATCATTGGGCTGATTTGGCTTGTTTGCACGAGGAAGATGATCGAGGATCTGCAATCGCGGAAGTTACAGGAGTGGAAAGTGGCGCACACCGCCTAGCTGCAGCTGGTTTCGCTGAGGAGAAAGGCTCACACCGCCTATAGATCCAAAAGAGGCGCAGACGTGCGCAGGCTTGGTGGGCGCAAAGCTAGGTGCTGTACAGAAATTCGGCACAGGCTTCAGTCGAGTTCAGACGACCAGCCCTGTGAGGTGCTTGAGAGTGCTTGGAAAGATCGTGCTTGGGAGTGCTTGGGAAACAAAGGATATTGATCAAATCCCCAATACCAGGACCTTCTAACAGGTGGGTGTTTTTGACACCCCTTAACCTCTAAGAGGCTGTTCATATAGACACCTCTTGGTGTTGGTCCTGTCATCGACGCGATCAGCTGGACGGCAAGACGTATGACTTCCAGTCGTTTCAGTGGCGCTGTCAGGTTCACCCCGAGGCCGGTAGTGGGTCGGTGAGCCCCATCTTCCGACACACCGGTGCCATGTCGGCAATGCCCCCAACCACCACCTCGCAGCGCGCGGACCTTGTCTGGGTGAAGGGGCACCGACCGGTGGATCACCGTCCAGGGCCCAAAAAGGATCGCTGTAGGCCTGTAGGCCTTCCGTCTCACTGAGAAAGTACTGATGCCAGGGGTGGTGTGCTTCGTCCCCAGTGGATGTGACCGGGGCACCCGGCCCAAACACTCCGTGCACCACCTGAGCTCACTCCGGGTGGACGGATGTGCGCGGACTCTCCCAACGAAGTGAACGAATGTGGAAGTGGATGGCACCCCCTGCTTGTAAAGGAAGGAACGTCTTCCAAGAGACCATTTTCATCCATGCTTCCACTTCCATTGTCAGAGTGTAACAGCTTTCTTAGTCCACCTTGCTGTGACAGGAGGTCAAGAAGTTCACCCGGCCAGCCTGCCACGCACCCAGGGTGAAGAACATTTGCTTGGAGAAACAAACTTAAACACAATCTGAGTTTGTCAGGTACAGATGGCCTGGTTACCTGTTCCAAAGGTGAATGAACACCGGAGCAACTACACTCCCACACAGACATTCGCCTTCAGCCTCCATCTGAAGAGTGTGAAAGACGGTTGTTCCAAAAAAATGGTCTAGACTCAGAAACCAGAAGAGCCCCTAGACTCACACAGAAGAGCCCAAGGTGAGCCCTCCTTGGTCGTCCATCCGGTTCTCCTGTTAGCCCATGTTCTACCGGGTCCACCCAGCAAGGCGTCCGGTGACCCTCAGCAGCTTCCTTCACCCAGCTCCACGCGAAGCGAGGTCGACGTGTCGACGAAGCCCAGCGAGTCGGAACCGCAAAACAAGCGCGCAGCGCGCCGCGGCAGCGCGCCGCGGCAGCGCTCTGCGGCGCTTTATGCGGCGAGGGTGCTTTTTGGCCGAGGTTTAGGCACCAAAACCAGGTTCAGAATTCAAGGTCCTTTTTTTGGGGGGGGTCCAAGCAGCCTGAATACTAAGAGCGCCACTTGAAACCGATAGATATGTGTGTGTGTGTTCACTTAGGCTAGCTCAAAGATTCTCCTAAGGGGGCTCATAGAATCTAGACACATATCGCATGGAGTGTGAGTTACCCAATCACAACATCCACCAGAACCCCCTGGGCTCTCGGCACGGGAGCATGTGTCAACTAGTGACCAGTACTAGTCACAGTCAGCGATACTGCATTTCTTCGTTTCCGTTTGTTGGTTGGAGGAGCGTGTTTCTTCGCATAGAAACCGTTGTGCAGGTGTTGCAATGGCAACTCGAGCATTTGTTGTTCACTCCGGGATTGGCTGTCCCATGCGAGGTTGGGAGTCTCGGATCTCTCAGCCCCACGCCTTGGTTCCCTATGGTTGTCACATGGGTGTGAATGGGGAGACTGAGGCCAGACTGCTCGAGGTCCCGAACCAAACCCCAGGGTGTCCCTATATTGGATCCGCAGACCCTCGACACGTATAGGGCGGGTGATGTGTGCCCGTTTTCGGGCGGCGCCAGGAGGGTCTAGAGGGACCCGGGTGGAAGGCAGTGGATCGAGGGCAAGGTTGATCCCATCATGGAAGTGGGTCATGGCACCCTGGTGGACTCCCCATGATATGTCGTAGATTCCTCTATGTCATCCCATGGTATACACCTCCAGGATTGTTCTGAGGCGCGTATACACCATGATTCCAGGATTGCGACGCTAGACCTCCCCATCTTCTTTGGTGGAGGTCAGTGGTGACAGTCCAGCCACAGATGTGCGCCTCCAGGAGACGGAGATGAGCTCGGTGGTGCCTACGGTGCCCAAGGTGAGGGCCGGGGCCGGGGTGGGGGGCGCCGGGGGCCTGGCTCCGTTCGGACTGGAGGTGGAGAGCTTGGGAAGTTCAATGGAGAAGTTGGGAATCTCACACCAAGAAAGCTCTTGGTGGTCAATGAAGATGTGGCATGTAATGAATTTTAATGATATCCTTTTTTGGAAGCACGTCCAAAGCATCATCCTCCAGTGTTTCGGTGAGTAGCATGGATAGAACATGAAAGATGAGTTTTCATGTGAGTATCGACCTAAAAGGGTCTGTGCACAAATCTTTATGTAAGAGGAACTTGTTTATTGAAATCATCCAAAAACCTGTGAAGCGATGCAGTGAACCCCGAAAAGCGATACCTTCACAATGTACACGGCAATCATGTCCAATCATTTTCTTCAATCATTTGATGTGTTTTTTTTTGCGTTGCATGAAGCGATACTAAAGCGATACCCCTGGATGATCAAAATGTGGTCTAGATGAGCGGATCCCCCTTCGTATCATGTCGTATCATTTTCACAGTGCCTGTGGAGTCTGACGCAAATGAAGAGCTCTAGAACAAGAACCGCAAATGAAGGGGAAAGTGTATCTCTCTCTCTCTCTCTTATTTATTTTTTTTATTTTGTTTGTTTGTGTTCTATTTTTGTCGTTATTTCTTCGTTTATGTTTCTTTCCGTTTTTTGGTGCACTTCACTTTGGCTATGTGTTCAAGAGAAATCCTCAATAAATATGACAAAGGCATCCAACACTATAAAGCGATATAGCGAACCCCCAAAAGCGATACCAACATATGGAGTTTACCACATTTTATGATGGGTTTTGTGATCGCTCATATCCAGTGGCCTTTTTATGATACATGATCATACGACAGTGGGTTGAAATGGTTAAACATTTGTATAGCCTCCAAAACCTTAATGCTAATGCGAAACGACAGGACGAAAGATCACTACCCTATAAGCCTGATTTTGTTGACCCATACCGTACCCGACCTACCTATATCCCAGCACTCTCCCCAGCACTCTCCACTCGATCAGTCATTGCCGGTGACAAGTTCAGTGCCCAGTTTCACCTCTAGCCACCATTCATTTTATACTGTTGCACTTAAAACCACATCAACTTTAAGAAATGGTCTTTGATGGTCTTTGATTTCCAGGACCCCGATACAGCCATACTTGCAGGGTCCCAGTAGAGATTTCATCTGAGCAGCGGCTTTCAGACGAGTGAAGGGAGTCGGAGTCTGCATGAAGCATTTTGCCGGTGCACGAAGATTGGTGAGGAAGCACGTAAGCACGTCTCTCGAAACGCGAAGCGAACAGGGCATTTGAACGAACTCGTTTCTCAAGGTCAAGAAGTCCTGGCCGTCACCAGACACCGAGGCGCGTAACGCGAAAGACGTGTCGTCTTAAGCAACGTGTCGTCTTAAGCAAGCCAACAACAAACAACACCAGCCAGCACCACGGATTTTTGGGTGGCTTCTGGAAGGAACATGTTAACATGCATAGACAGAAGGTGTCTTTTGATGTACCTATCACTTCTCAAGCTTTTCACAGGCCTTTACACAGTCCCTCCGTGTTTTTCGGCGCAGGACGAGACTGAGGGTGAGGAGTCTCCTGAGGGCGCCGCGAGCAGAGGTGAGCTCCGATCGGCTGCGATCGGTTCCTTCTTGAATTACGACACAGAGTCAAGGAGTTGAGTCTCAATGAGCATGCCAGAAGATGAAGAAGGATTGACATCGGGGTTCACCGGGTTTCAGTTGGGCCTGGAACGCTCTTTCCAGTTGAACACCCTGGTGATGCATCACCGGCAACCGGACCGCCTCGGGTTCCTAAGCCAACACCGCAGGGGGTTCGTTGAAATCAAGGAACGAGAAGTGGAGAAACCACCCATCATTTGTGGATAAGTCCCAGTCGGCAGACAGGTGGATGAGAAGAGAGAATCAGAATGACCAATTGCCAAGTATTTTTCAATACGTTGGTCACAGTATGTATGTTCTTTCTTTAGAGGATCGTTTTCAAACTCTGTGGGAGCATGAAAACTCACAGGAAGCTGTGTACGGTAAACTGTCATGGTAAACCCTAAAAAGAACAGTGTAAGCATCACCCGATGGCATGCTCGTGGCGTGCTCCATGCCATGCGTCGAGCCAATGTGTCACATAAGTGCTCATTCGGAGTTGCCTCTGGGGCGTCGTCAAATGGCACCCGATGGAGATGATCAGATGAGCTTCAATTGGTGGTTCAGTCCGCTTCGGCATGTGCCCTTCGAACAAGAATCAGCCATGGACAAGCTGGAAGGAGTAGATGAGCATGTCTCAAACGCAATGGAACAAACAACTTATCAACCTTCAACAATCGGTGGTCAATAAAAAAGACTGGATGAGCCATGGCCCAGGGCCCTGGGGGGTGTTCTTAGGGGGTTCGTTGAGAAGGAACAAAAGCCCATGACTCCTACCTGGGATTGTTCGGCCTTCTCATCCTATGAGAAGGAATCCTGCTCTGCCTTTGGTTTCTGGGCTTCGCTAGGTGTCACAGCCAGCGGTGCTGACACGACCGTGGTAGACACAGCCGGCAGCAAGACCAGCAGGCGCGTCGATGCTGCTTCGAAGGTTGACGTTGGAGAATGCGAAGATGGTTTGATGGAGGGATGGGGTCGACCACTCAAACTAAGAAAATTAGGGCCTTTTTTCGGGGTTCAATGTTATCAGACTTCCCCCCCCCAAAAAAGGCATTGGCATGGAGGTCCCACTGTGACTGTATTTGTTATCAGACTTCCATGTCACAGGATGGGAAGTGTGAAGCTCCGAAACAACGAAGTTCGGCGTCGACGCTGTGGAGCCCGTCCGGTGGTCTCAGGCTGCGCGACGCCTGGCTCTCGCTTCAGCTGGCTGGGTCTTCTTTCGATGCCCAGGGTGGACTCATAGTGGTCTGGACCTATTCTTGGTGGTTTGATAAAAATAGCGGGAATATCCCCAAGCTTAAG